AAGTTCTTTGGCTACTTCTCGGCAGCCGCAGTGTTCCCAGCCAACGCCTCGCGCTGCTCCTGGACACTGCGCAACCCAGACCCGCGGCGCTACACTCTGTATATGAAGGTGGCCAAGGCGCCTGCACCCTGCAGCGTGCCTGGTCGTGTCCGCACCTACCAGTTCGACTCCTTCCTCGAGTCCACGCGCACCTACCTGGGCGTGGAGAGCTTCGACGAGGTGCTGAGGCTCTGTGACCCCTCTGCACCCCTCGCCTTTCTGCAGGCCAGCAAGCAGTTCCTGCAGATGCAGCGACAGCAGCCACCCCGGGATGGAGACCTGGGCCTTCCAGGGGAGGCCCTAGGCCCCAGCGATGACTTCTCTGTGGAGTACCTGGTCGTGGGCAACCGCAGCCCCAGCCGGGCTGCCTGCCAGATGCTGTGCCGCTGGCTGGATGCCTGTCTGGCTGGTAGCCGCAGCTCACACCCCTGTGGCATCATGCAGACCCCCTGTGCCTGCCTGGGTGGCGAGGCCGGAGACCCTGCCTCCAGCCACTTGGTCCCCCATGGTGATGTCTGCTTGAGGGACGGTGTGGCTGGCAGCCCCGAGAACTGCCTCACCAGCCTGACCCAGGACCGGGGTGGGCATGGCTCAGCAGGTAAGTAACGGCCAAGAGAATACTCAGAGGTGGCCCTCCAAGAAGAGCTCCAAGGCCCAGGAGAGTGCCACTGTGCACTGCCAAAAGTCACGACTGGCACACTGTGGGGCCCTTGTGGGGCCCGGTGCTGTCAGCTCTCACTCTGAGAGAATGAAGGACTGATTCCTTCTGGTGAGGATTTAAATTCCCAGCTGGGAGAGAGCAGAGAGGACAATTCTAATGGGCCCGAGGTGGCTGTGGCTGGTGGCTAGGGTCTACGGGGACCTTTTTAGGTGGGCACATGGGCTTCTTGGGCTGTACCAGCAGTGTGGACAGGTGAGCTTTTTGTGATCTGCTAGAAGTGGGCTTTGTGTGGAGTGTAGCACATCCCGCAGCTGGTTACTGCATGGATACTGGACGCCCTCTAGGCACTGGGGACAGACGGTGAGCACCAGCAGGGAAGAAAGCAGTGACAAGGGTGTTGCAGGACTCACTTCAGGCAGGGTCCTTGGAGAGGCTGCTGTCTCTTCACTTGAGGTCAGGGAGGGCACACGGACTGGGACCTTGCTTGGCATTCTGGGTGATGTGAGGTCCATACTATTCCAGGTAGAGGGTTCACATGGACCCAGGCCTGAGGTGGGCGGGCACTTGGTGTGTCCCACAGTGAGGGAGCACAGGCCAGTCAAGGGATGGGCTGGCCTGAGGAGTACTGGGGTCTCGTTGGTGAGATGGGGCCTACACAAGTGGTGATGAGTGGCCAGGGGCTGCAGGTGGGTGCAACTGCAGAACTAGCTGGTCAGGCTGGTACGCAGGAGGTAATGTCCCTGCTGTCCTATAACTGGAGGAAAGAAAGGCAGGGCATCCTGGATGTGGAAAAGAGGCCTTGGGGACTGGCTGGGTTGGGATGGGGCTCAAATTTGAGAGATGAATGACCTGACTGTATGTGCTTTGAGGCTGGCATGATGCTGGCAGGGCTGTGGCAGGTGCTGGCAGCCCTTAGTCTCGGGGGTCAGAGAGCCTATGACCCCCTCTCACAACAAATATTCTCAGGCCTCACACAGGTTACATGGCCACAAAGAAAGCCAGAGTCCTGGAACCCAGTTCTGCCCATGGCTCCAGGTGATGGATCCATGAGTTTGGCCAGGCAGGAGGCAAGATTGGTTGGGCAGGTGCAAAGCTGAATCAGCAGCTCCCCAAGGAGGATAGAGGCGGTGCCCCGGGGCTGGGGCACAGGAAACCAAGTGGGAATCCTGGGCAAGAGGAGTGGTGTCAGGTAGAACCAGGAGCAGGGAAGGAGGAGCTGAGTGGACAGGTTGGAGGCCACTATGACCTTGGCAAGGGCAGTTTCTGTGGTAAGGCAGTGATGAGAGCGGGTCCTGTCTGAGGGGACTTGGGGAGAACGGAACAGTGTATGGCATTCTCTTTGGGGAGCAGAGAAGTGAGGCAGTGACTGGTTTGGGGGAGGAAGAGCACAGGAGGACAGGGCTTTCAGTCACAGGCGGGTGTGGCTGTGTCCTGCTCTAGCACCCTGATCATTTAACTGCTTTGATCTGTGGCTCCTTCATCTGCCAGCCCGGGACTGCCCTGCAGGGTGCCCTGATCCGGTGTGGTGGATCTCACCAGCACAGGGCCGCAGCCATAGGCCTGCATCTCGGGCAGTGGCTGTGCCTAGAACTGCTGAACTCTGCTCAGAGCACGAGGAGGGCCTCACGCTTTCCTGAGCACCTACTGTGTGCAGGGCCCACGACAGGAGCTGTGGCTGTAATGACCCTGCCTGCACATGGAGTTTACACCTGCTCTTGAGAACGAGAAGGTCTTGGGAAGGCTTAGAGCAGAAGCATGACGTCCTGGGCTGTGCCAGGCTTCTAGCTGAGCATGGGAGTGGGGAGATTCTGAGGAGGGCCTGGAGGGCAGGAAAAGAAAGTCCTTAGGACAGAGCTGATGACCTTGTTGATGAAAGGATATGAACCTAGGATTCTGGGATTCTGGTCAAGAGTGAGGGCGTCCACTGAGGTGGGCAAGTGGGGTGGGAGGTCAATAGGCCAGAGTGGGTCTTGGGCAAGGGGTTCACGTGAGCAGAGCGGCTGCACTGGGAGCACTAGGACAAGGCCAGGTTGGGATAATAGCATTTGAGCCATGTCTTCAGAGACCCATGGCCAGGATTGAAATCTCAGCCTGCCTGGATCACCGTGTATTGCTGGGCCAATCCTTTCAGCTCTCCCATCCCCTCGGGCCCATCTTTAAAACGGGAAGAGTAGAAATACCTGCTTTCCTAGACTGCCATAGAAGTGTGATTGGAGTGGAGTGCTTCTGGGCCGGAGCAGCGCCGACGGTGAGATGTGAGGGTCCTTGCTGGCGATCAGGCGGGAGCACTGGAGGGCTTGGGGCCAGGCTGATCGGAGGCAGGAATGTCTGGAGATCAGTTTGGGGTATGCATCCAGACTGGAGAGAGCATGCTAGTGCTCAGAAGCAGGGAGGAGGGCGTTTGCATGCCCGTGTGCCCGTGTGGGCAGGCACGTGGTGCTGTGTGTACAGTGCCTGTGTTGTGTGTGTGTTCGTGTGTGAAAGTATGGCGTATGTGTGTGTGTGCTGTGTACCATGCACATGTGCTGTGTGAGCCCATGTGTGTGCACATATAATTCACACATGTGCCTGTATAGCGCCTTGTGTGCACACCGAGTCACGTGTATATGTGCTACATGCGTGTATTTGTATGCTTGCTTGGGTGTGTATGTGCACATATGTGTGAGTGCAGATAAGCATATGCAGTGGATGGTGTGTGCGCCTCTGTGTCTGTGTGCGTGAGAATGCTCATGGGTGTGCGTATGTGCACGTGTATGTGGAGGGCGGGTTCTGTGCAACTGTTTGACAAAGTACAGTGCAGAGCTGTAGTGTAATGGCTGGTAGTCTTGTGGAAGGCAGTCTGGGAAGTGTGTGGACCCTGGCAGCTGGCAACATGAAGCGGGATCATGTCTTTGTGGGTGGGGTGGCATGTGGCCACCCAGGTTGGAGTCTGGTGTCCATGTCCTGCACCCAGAATGATCTTAGTTGTATCATAGCAGTCATTTAATGGGTGCTTGCTTTATGCTGGAAGTACCCACAGCTTAACTAGTTTACTCTTCACACAAGGAACCCACAAGATAGGCTCCTCAGCATGGGTTCTACCTCAGGGCCTTTGCACAGGCTGTTCACGTTGCCTGAACTACTCTCCCCACATACCTACAGAGCACCTTCTGCTTGCAGCCCCTGCTCAGAGGTGGCCTTCCCACCCCCAGCCCTGCCCTTTCTCCTGTTCTCTTTCTGTAGCACATGTCCCTTTAACCACACTGAGAATCCCTGCCTGTGTTGTGCCCGCTACTGGCTGTGCTGAGGTGTGCTCAGCAGCAAGGGCCTGTGCCTTTTCATTGGCCCTGCCTGGGGAGGCAGCAGCTGCCACACAGCAGGCACAGTTGAGTGAATTTAGGCACAGGGATTTAAGGCTGTGGCCAGGGTCACACAGCATGTAGGGACAGGCGGACAGCAGAGCTCCCTGGTGGTGCCTCCTGGCACTTCTACAGTGGCTGTACTGGCAGCATGCGCACGTGTGTGCGCGTGTGTGTGTGTGCGTGCGTGTGGCCTGAGGACCAAAGAGGTCAGGTTGCTGTGTGGGCAGCATGCTGGGAGCCAGGGCAGGTAGCCGACCTCTGCTGAGCCCACCCAGCAGGACCTGGGCCTGAGAGGAGCAGGGCCAGCAGGTGGCTGGGCGGGCTGCAGCCCTTTTCCGCCTTGCCCTGCCAGGCCAGCCACCTACCACATGGCCGTGCCACAGGCCTGGTTCCACAAATACTGCAGGGCAGCCGCCCCACTGCTCCCTTCCTTTGTGGCTGCCAGGCCCAGTGCCGCCTGCTCCACCTCTCTGCATCTGTGTCAGTCTCTCCTGTCTCCGTCTCCCTATCTGTCTCTCCACCTCTCCTCTCTGTCTCTCCACCTCTCTCTCATCTCCTGTCTCCCCATCTCCCCATCAAGTCTGTCTCCCTCTCTCAGCATCTCTCTGCCGCTGGTGAGATGGGCCGTTTCTCTTGAGGGTTGCTTTAAATATTCATGTTTTAATTAAAGAATTTTATTGCAGAAGCGACATGTAAGATAATGAAAAAGCAGCGCCCTGGGAGTGGGAGTGTGTGTGTCCCTGTGTGTGCGTGTGGGTCGGGGGCTGACACTAGGCTCCAACCTGTGTGTCCCAGAGGGTGAGGGCCAATGGCTGGCCCGCAGAACTGGGGCTGGGCTTCCCCTCCTCACCTTGCCTCTGGAGCTGGTCATCACTCAGCTCTGGGCCTGGCTGGCTGGCGACCCCACCCCCACCCCACAGACCCCTTGAGGCTCTGCTTGCTCCCTCAGGAGCCCACCAAGCCCTGGGAGGAAGTGTGTGAGGCTGGCACTGACTTGGGGAGGAGGAGTGGGTTACAGCTTGGGCTGGGCTGGGGGTGGGCAGGAGAGGATGCCAGACCTCCACGGATGGGAATGCTGGGTGTCATCCTACCTGGGCAGCCCACTCTTTACACAAGGGCCAATTTGGAAAAGTCCAGGAAACAAGGCTTCAGTGCCTATTATGGATAGTGCTTGGTGCAGGTGGAGAGAACAGTACGGGGCCCTGCGTATATGGGTGCCATAATCCTCCAGAAACTCCCATGTGAGTGCCCTTCCCATGTCACCCACCTGCCCCACTGCTGTGAGATCGGCTGAGCTGTGGTCTGAGTTGGGTTCTGCTTCCCAGGCAGATGGGGAAAGGAGTGTCATGTAGGCAGCTGGTAGCTTCTGCCACTCCATCCGGCAGCTGAGGCCCGGGGGGGGGCAGTGAGGTAGCTGGGTCTCCAGGATGGCCTGAGCTTTTGGGTTTGTAAACAGGGCACTGTCCTCAGGGCCCGGAGCACCTGCAAGGCTCAGAGATGCGGCTGCTGCAGATGTGGCAGCTAGTGCTTGTGGACCTGTTTCCTTCTGTGATCCAGGGAGGGGCGGGGGCAAGATCTGTGGGTAGGGCCTGTGCAAACATAAAGGGGGTGGGGCTTCCAGCAGGCGGGGAAGGCCAGTGCTCACCGGGGGCTGCTGGCCCTGTGGAGGGTTGGTTAAGTCAGACCACTGTGTGTGGGGAAGAGGCTGCAGGGAGCCACCCTGTCCCCCAAGGTGGTGTTCTTCTGCTCTGGATCCAGGCCATGTCTTGGGTCCAGAGTCCAGGTTTAGAGTCTGGGTGCCCCCAGGCAGCCCCAGCTTGGTGGCAGGGGAGATGGGCCCTGCCAGGAGCTTGGGTAGGGGGATCCCTGTCTGGGGACCACGCAGTGAGTGCCTGGGGCAGGTATGATACCCAGCAGGAGCTGACAAGCAGCCCAGAGGCTGCCCAACCTGCTGGACTTGGGAGCCCTCTGCTGGAGGAGTTTGGGAGTGCACAGTTCCCCTCCTCCAGGGAACCTCTGAAACTGGAAGGTTGGCCAGGATAGGGGACACCCTTGGTGCTTCAGCCCAGCCCACTTGGGGTGCAGGACTTTGGGATCCCACCATCTCCGGGCCAGGGCACCAGGGTGGGAAGGACACGGAGCCCTCTCCTGGTGCACCCTCTCTCCTGGGTGGCCATCCCGCCGGCAACTGATAATTGGCTCTATTCATCCCCATAATGAGATGGAAATGAGGCTTCCAGACAGAGAGGGCATTGAGCGGGGGAAGAATGGCGTCTTCTTTCCGGGACTGGAGGGGCAGGCCGCCCCCACCCCCGCCCAGCCCTGTGGGTCCTCCGCTGCCCCCTTGTGGCCCAGCCAGCCCTGAAGCGCCACTGTGCCCTGCACTGCGGGCCTGGGCGTCCTTCTGGGTAACTCCCCCTCTGGCATGGATGCATTCACTCAGCAAACATTTATCAGATGTCAGCTGTGTGTGAGGACACACATTAAAATTGAAAATGATAATAAAAATAGCTGCTACCATTTTCTGAGCCTTCATTAGTGGAGGGAGTGTGGCCAAGGTTGGGGATCCTGTTGTGACAGATCAGAGATCAGTATGTGATGGAGCTCAGGGACCCGAAGCCAAGGATCAGAGGTCAGTCTGTGATTAGGATCAAGGTTCATTGTGTGACCAGGGACAGGAATCTGTGTGACCAGACTCACAGCTCAGTTTGCAAACAGGGTCATGGCTCAATGTGTGACCAGGACCAGGGTTCAGCCTGTGATTTGGATCAGGGCTCAGAATGATGAGAATCAGGGATAGGCTTGAGGGGGCTCCATCCTCTGAGCCAGTGTCCCCTCTCTCAGCCTTCCTCTCCCCTCCCCCCCACATCTTCACCACCTGGGTCACCAAGGTAACCAGCCCTGAAATAGTGGGTGTTTTGGCAGCTGAGGCCTAACCTGGGTCTATCCTGAAAGGCTGCGCTCTGCAGCAGTTGCCATGGGAACCGAGTGGCATCCTCTGATTAGCTGGGCTTGGACACCCTCTCTTTCCCACCCACTGCCATTTCCTCATCCCTCAGGCTTCCTTGTGAGGGTTGGACAGGGGTGGGGAACTGGCAGGATGTGCCACGCAGACCCCAAAGCCAGGCCTGCCTCCCTAGGCTCTATTCCTTTGTCTGGAACCCTCGGGTGCGATGGGATGGCTGTGGCAGATGAGATACCTGAGGCTGAGAGGGTCTGGACCATGGTTAGGCCTGGCAGGTGGCCTAGGCTGGGGGCAGGTAGGGGTATGTGGAACCTGACCCAGTTCGATATTTGGGATCTGACCTGGTTTGATTATGGCTCCTCTTGTCCTGAGCCAAGGCATGTGACAGGAAGCCTCTGAGCTGCTCAACTGGGCTTCTCTGCAGGCAGCTCCTGCCCTGACCTGCTGGTCGTGCACGTGCAGGCCATGCTGGGGACTGTCACTGTTGGCCCCCAGCTCTGTCTTGGGGCAGTCATGCCGATCTGCTCCTCTCTCCTGTGCCCCTACTCCTCTCTGAAGCCTTTCCACTATATTTGTAGCTGAGGATGACATGATATTTATACAGCAGCCCCCACATTTATAGCTCTTCCTCAGAGCCTGAGATCCTGCTCCCCTCCTTTGCACTTCCCCAGTGCTAGCTCTCCTGTCCTTAGGGTGCCAGTACTATAGCCCCTGCCTATGCAGATGACCCTCAGTTTCTTCCACTGTAAGCAGGTGAAGGTATTGAGTTATAGGGGTGGCTGGAAATCCAAGCCATGGTAGAGGTCTCAAGCACAGAGTGGGGCCCCACCACCAGGGCCAAGGTGCCCCTGGAGAGCCAAGGTGGGAGGAGAAGCAGCCTTCCCTGGAGGCTGTGGAGCTGGGGTCCTACAGCTGGGCACAGTTCCTGTTCTCCTCCCAGCTGAGAGACACAGTGTCTCTTTACCTCGGCAGCTTGTCTTCTTGTCTGGACTCGGGGCAGGGAGGTCTCTCTTATGAGAGGAGGGACATCCACCCAGACTGAGAGTGGCTCAAAAACACTGCCTGCTGCTCTGTCCCTGGGCTGTGTTCCACCAAGCAGGCACACGATCTGGTGCACAGTGCACAGGGGTCCTGGCCTCTGTGGCCCCCTGACTGGGTACACTGGAGCCCTTGGGGCTGTGGCTCTGTGAGAGAAAAGAGAGTAGTTTCTAAAACAGGCATGGAGATATGGAAGGTGCCCCTTCCCACTTACCCAAACCAGCAGGGAGAATGAGCCGGAATTTGTGAGTGTGATTCCTTCACTTGAATCCAGCCCCTTGCCCTTGGCGCCCCCTGCTGGCTCATATGAGCAGCAGCGCAAGGAAGATGGCAGAATTCTCGCTGTCTCCAGGGCTAAGCACCCAGAAAATCAGGGCACCGGTCAAAGGAATCCAAAGAGCCATACCCTTTCAAACTCCTCTGGGCTATTTCTCCTCCTGCTGGTTGGCCCTGGGAAATCTGCTGCCATTCTGAACAGGTTATGGGTGTGAGGCCAGAGAGGCAACCCCAAGACCACCCAGGATGTGGATTGACCCCTCCCCAGCTGTCCAGTATCACAGACCAACCATAAGGTGGTTAGCCCTAAACTGCATGTAAGACTCAGCACCAGAGCCTCTGGCCACCAGGAGTGGCCTAGCCTCAATCAGCTGGTTCTTGGTCCCTGGAGGGGCTTCATTTGTTCTCTCTGGTCCTTTGCATCCCCAGCAGGCAGTGTGAGGAGGCTGTGGCCTCAGCTGAATGGGATCCCAGGGGTGGGAGTGTGGCAGTGCCATCCTGTCTCCTTACCACTTGATCAGGTGCAAGGTCAGGGTGCCCTCACCAGAGATTTCCCGTGTCTAGGCTTGAGCCCAGTCAGGAATGGGCACTGGGGAGGAGGGCTACCAACCCCAACCATGCATGTGGCCTGGGTTGGTGAGGTTGAAGGCCACACAGTGGGAGAGACAAGCAGGAGACCTGGACAAGCAGCCCCTTTGGTTGACGCAGTCTCACACTGACTCACAGATGGGCACAGCCTGCATGCCATTGCCCCAGCCACGGGCACTCCACACTGACTTGCATTCCTAGAGGCTACCTTAAAGGGCTCAGATCCCCAGGGACAGAAAGTCGGTTGCTGAGGCAACACTGGTCCCTGCGAGACCAAGATGGGGGAAGACCCATGAGAAAGGGGTCCAGCCAGCAGGGTCTGGCAGCCTCTGTCCCAGTCTCCCTTGGCAAGTGATCAGCTCTTTGCTGGGCCTAAGGGAAGTTCTGCCAGGCCAGGCCACCAGCTGTGAGACCTAGTGGGTCACAGGCCACATCTGGATATGGGGGTGTGTAAAGCCACCTGGGCCCCTGCTGTGCTGATGACCCAGGCTGGGAGAGGCAGGCCTGGGCCAGAAACTGGCCAGGGGCCTGGAGGAGGAGTATCAGGCGTAGAAAGCAAAGCCTTAGCTGCAAAGCTGCTCTGCTGTCTATTGGCCCGGAGGATCTTGGGCGGATAGGAGGTAGTCCTTATTCATTTTCCAAGCTTGCCTGCCTTACCCTGGGGCCTCCCACCTCAGGGTAGACCTGTGCCCTCCAGAGGATGCCTGGGAGCTGGATGCCTGGTCCCCTAAGAACCTGCCTGGTACTGCTGGCCACCCCCATTCATCCAGCCTCATCCCCAGACCTAACCCCACCCTCTGGTGTCCCTCAGGCGGCTGGAAGCTGTGGTCCCTGTGGGGCGAGTGCACTCGAGACTGTGGAGGAGGCCTGCAGACAAGGACGCGCACTTGCCTGCCCACGCGGGGCATGGAAGGCGGCGGATGCGAGGGGGTGCTGGAGGAGGGGCGCCTGTGCAACCGAAAGGCCTGTGGCCGTGAGTTCGCAAGGGAACGTTGACCTGGTGGGGGGATGCTCCAGAGTTGGGGGGGTGACGTGGTGGAAGGGCCCATGCAGGGAAGGGCAGGATGGGAAGAGGGCGTGACTCTGAGGAGCAGCACCTAGGTTGGGGGGCAGGGATGGAGCTCCACCAAGGATGGGACCAAGCCTGGGTGGCCAGGGCCCAGGAGGAGCTCTGGTACTTGAAGCTAGGTAGGATAGATGGAATTTTCTTCTCAGATGTGAAGATTTTGGGGTGATACATGCACCCTCTTCCCTCACCTAGGAAGCCCTGGCCAGACCAGCCCATCTGGAGCAGGCCTCCAGAATGTATTTCTCTAATAAGGTTCTTTAATGACCTCATACATTTTTTAGCTGCCTCCATAAAGTTAAATCAAGTTCTAATGAGACTGTCATTCTTTGGGTTCTTTTTTTCCTTGATGAACTCTCCTGGGGAGACAGCTCATCTCTGGAGCCCAGGGAGGCCCCTGGGGCATCCGGCAGGGGCAGGGGCAGAGGAGCTATCCTGCAGGTGACCATGGGTTCGCCAGCCCTGGAGGCTGACAGGGAGGGGCTGCTGGGCAGGAAAGACAGGATCCATAAGAAGAGGCCCCTGGTGACCAGGCCTGGTGCTCTGGGCCTGGTTTCCCAGCTGTCCAGTGGTGGCCAAGGACAGAGGAGGCCCCTGCAGGATGCTGACCTGAGCCCATCCTGCAGCCGCTGGGCGCACCAGCTCCCGGAGCCAGTCCCTGCGGTCCACAGATGCCCGGCGGCGTGAGGAGCTGGGGGACGACCTGCAACAGTTCGGGTTTCCATCCCCCCAGACTGGTGAGCTGCTGGTGTGGGCAGGGCTGGTATGCACCCACTCAGGTGCTGAGCTTGGGAGGGCTGGTTTCCTGGACTAGGTCTGTGGGTAAATACTCTTAAATTAGCAATTGCTGCTAATTATAAGTAATAGCTTTAATGACTTGCTATAATGAGACCAACCTCTTAGGTATAGTACCTGGCTCTACTCTCCAGGCTGACTAGCTCTAGGGGTACTGAAAGGGGCAGTGCAATCGGGACCAGATCTTGGGGACCAGAAGTGGCCCAGGCCTGACCAGTGGGGTAACTTGCAAACCTCAAGATCAGCCTGAGCTCCAGCCTGTCCCCTGCTTCCCGTTGGGATGGCCTCCTCCCAGAGAGTCTGTGGTGGCCCATTGGCAGTAGACATGGAAGGGTTGTGATGCTGTAGGTCTCCATGCCTACAGGTGACCCGGCGGCAGAGGAGTGGTCGCCATGGAGCGTGTGCTCCAGCACCTGCGGCGAGGGCTGGCAGACCCGCACACGCTTCTGCGTGTCATCCTCCTACAGCACGCAGTGCAGTGGCCCGCTGAGGGAGCAGAGGCTGTGTAACAACTCCGCGGTGTGCCCAGGTGGGCGGGGTTTAGCGGAGAGGGGGCGTGGTGGGGTGGGGT